TGAAATTTGTCCCTATTGTCAAGCCTAAAGGTACTAAGCTATTCCAACAGGTAAAACATGTTGGATCTAACTACCAAGTTCCTGGAGCTGGTAAAATCTTTATTTTCAGAGAAATAGCCAGAATCCTATCACTTAAGAAGATAATATCTAGACCTTAAGGGTATATTTCAATTGAGTTTTGGCAAAGTGGAATCAATGTTTATTGTTTGAAACTGGATTTGACCCTTCACTTTTAAACATTTGCCGTTTTCAGTGAGTGCCTACTGTGCTGTAGGCATAAGATCAGATGCTATAAAGCATAAGCATTTATATTATGATCATGTTGCTTCCCACATGAGCAACTCTAAGTCGTGTGATCCAAAGTAAAGAGCACTGGGTTTATTCAGATGTGTAGCACAGAGCAGAATGACTAGTGATAATCATATAAGCTTTGTTTTAAGTTTAACATACTTAAAGCTTTTTTATTCATTATAATAATTTTTAAATTACAGCTCAATAATTGTTTTTACTATTTCTCTTAAAGTTTGGTTATCAATAGTAAATGAGTCTTCTGGTCAATGCCAGGTATTAAAGCTAATAAATCAGATGGAGATATTGTACCATATGTTAGATCAAAAATTATGTGTAAAAGGTATGCATAGATTCTGAAGACTATTAGATTGCTGAAAAAGAACTAATCATTTTATAAGTTCTACAGCTATGCTGTACAACATTGTCCCTGTAGTTAACAATACTGTACTATACAGTTAAAATTTTGTTAAGAGGATAGATCTCATGTTAAGTGATCTTACCACAATAAAATTTTTAAAGAAAGGAAATATTCTTAGTCATTTTGTAAGAGAAGTAAACAATGGTAGCAGAAAGATTACAAATCCTCTTTCACTGGTGTAGTGGATTAAATGAAAGCCCCCAAAAAGATGTGTCCACAGCTGAATCCTCAGAACCTTTTTTTTTTTTTTTTTTTTTTGAGACAGAGTCTCGCTTTGTTGCCTAGGCTAGAGTGAGTGCCGTGGCGTCAGCCTAGCTCACAGCAACCTCAAACTCCTGGGCTCAAGTGATCCTTCTGTCTCAGCCTCCCAAGTAGCTGGGACTACAGGCATGAGCCACCATGCCCGGCTAATTTTTTCTATATATATTAGTTGGCCAATTAGTTTCTTTCTATTTATAGTAGAGACGGGGTCTCGCTCTTGCTCAGGCTGGTTTCGAACTCCCGACCTCAAGCAATCCGCCCGCCTCGGCCTCCCGGAGAGCTAGGATTACAGGCGTGAGCCACCGCACCCAGCCCCTCAGAACCTTTGAATGTGACCTCATTTGGAAAAAGGGTCTTTGCACAGGTAATTAAGAATCTTGAGATGAGGTCATCCTGGATTTTTCAGGTGGGCCCTAAATCCAATGACAAGTGTCCTTGTAAGAGATATGCAGAGAAAAGAAACAGGAAGAAGAGGAGAAGGCCATGTGAAGATGGAAGCATAGATTGGAGTCATACTGGCACAGGCCAAGGAATACCTGGAGCCACCAGAAGCTGAAATATGCAAAGAAAGACTCCTCCATAGAGCCTTTGCAGGGAGCACGGTTCTCCCAACACGTTGATTTCAGAATTCTGGCCTCCAGAACTGTGAGAGCATGAATTTGTCTTGGTTCAGCCACCAACTTCATGGTTATTTGTTGGAATCCTAGTAAACTAATATACCTGGAGAACTTTAAAACCAGAATAACATTAGAAAAAGTGTTTTCTGAAAGCATAAAAAACAGACGAGGTGACTCATGATTGCACCTTCAAAGCTAGTTTCTATACCACAGGATCCAATGTGCCTGGCCACACTGCAGGCGTTCATCAGTTCCTGTTTAATCCACATGGGCATTGCAGCAACCCATTCTGTTACCACCCTATGGCTACTGCCCAACCCACAGCTACTCTCCAAAGTCTGCATTTCCTAATTAACTTACACTGAAACTGTGCACTAGAATCATCTTCACAGATACCTGCCAGAAGTCCCAAAAACGCTGGCAATTCCAACTCAGGAAGCCTGGGGTGGGGCCCAGGCATTTGCATGTTTAACAAGCTTCACAAAAGATACTGATGTCCAGCAAAAACTGAAGCCTTGAACCCGGGGCACTCAGTAGCTGGACTATCTGGCTACTCTCATCCCAAAACACTCTTGGGCTGACAGGTAAGGGAAATGATGTGATGTGATAGTAGTGGAGCAGTGAGCACAGGCTGGAGGACAAAGAGTACAAATAAGAAAGCAAGACACTTAGAGAGGAATCTACAGTCCTAACTCCTCCTAGAAATGCACCACCCATGCAATGTTTCTGGGTCTGCACAATGGTGGAAGGAAAGGACTGAGAAAATAAAGTGAAACCAGACTTGATGTATAGTTGAAACATAAAAGTATTTCTGGAGTAAGTCACAAGCTCCATGTGTATGATAAAATGTTAATACATTGAAGTATAAAATATGCCAAGAAAAAGTAAATTTAAAAGAGTCATGGCTGGGTGCAGTGGCTCACACCTACAATATAAGCACTCTGGGAGGCCAAGTCAGGAAGATTGCTTGAGGCCAGGAGTTCAAGAGCGAGACCTTGAGACTCCGTCTCTACAAAAATAGGAAAAAAAATTAGCCGGGCGTGGATGCCTGTAGTCCTGGGTACTCAGAAGGCTGAAGTAGGAGGATCACTTGGGCCCAGGAGTTTGAGGTTGCTGTGAGCTTTGATGATGCTACTGCACTCTAGCCCGGGTGACAGAGTAAGACTCTGTCTATAATAAATAAATAAATAAGTCATAAAATAAATTCAATCTAAGAAATATTGAATGTCTACTATGTGTCAGATACTGTGCTAGGTTGGTGGGCTTCTGATGATGAATAAGACAGTCCCTCCTCTTCCTCAAGGACTAATCCAGGGCACCAGCAGGAAAATCTAAACCTAGTAGCATGGTTATAACTAATCTCAAACCTTGTACCCAGGCCTGACCTCAGAGGAATCATCAAGAACTTAGCCAGTGGCTAAAGCTGATTTCTCCCTGTGGTCACATTCAATACAGAACAACTGATGTTATCAGAAAATGGAAGTTAGTGGCACTGTGTTTAAGAAGTTGACATTTATTAAAAATTAAAAGTTTGAAGAAATTCTCCACCCCTAAGTAAAAATATAGAGAGGATATTAAATATTACTAATTTGACTAATTTATAGAGCTGGAAGATTTGGTCTCTGACTTGTGGACACTCCTCAGTGAATATTAAACTATAGTAGTAGTAAAGTTAGTCCTTTGCAAAGAGGGACTGCCTGACTTTTTTTTTCAATCCAACTATGCTCAGTTTCATTAACATATCAATGTCACTGTTAAATCGTATGTCAGAGTTAAGTTCAGAACTATGATAGCCATAATTCACTACTATTTAATAGTGTAACTCTGGCTCAAAACATTACCTACCCACAAAAACCAGTGATCCCAACCAGGATTGACACACATCCACGCATTTAACCAGTATTTTGAGTTACTACCATGTGCCAGGCACCATGCTAGGTTGCAGCAATGAGCACATAGTCTTGGCTTCTCATTCTTTAAGGGTATTCCATTGAGAGTCATTTCCCATACTCCTGGGGCAGATATCACTAACCAGTCACAGACGCTCTCCTCCCAAGCCCCTACGATGCCTGAGGATCTTTCTCAACATGATACTCATGAGAATATTACCAGTCAGAGGTGGAACACAAGATGAAATTTACTGGCCACCCAAAATTCTAACCAAACTGCATTGAAATCACCTGCTCTTCTCGTAAAATGCTATGCCTTGGCTCATGTTGTTTTCTGTGTTTTTTTGCCTGCCTCTCCTTTTTATGAACATTCAAATTAACTATTCTAAAGATACAGCTCAAAGAAAAAATATATTTTTCTGTAATTACATCTAATACCATCAATTGTTGTTTGCCACATTTAAAAGCTCATAAAAATTGATTAATTTATGAAAAAATATATAGCTCAAATGCTCTGTCTTGAATCTTCCCCAGTCAGATGCAAATTTCTCTTCTGAATCTCTATGATAATCCTTTTTTAATGGTGCTTAACATAGTCCATCTAATTAATAAAGTACATGCCCTCTCACATGAGCACCCTAAGGCTACGAAATGTTTTCTATGTCTTAGCCTCATATTATCAATCATACATCTTTGCACATGCAAACACACACAAACATGTTTGTCAGACACTGGTTCAATCAATTAATTATGAGAGAATCTGGGATTAATTAAGGGAGAACATATAAGCTTACTTGGGAAAAGTTTCTTGTATAGCTATATTCAGTAGAGATATGTCATTTCTACTGTTCTTATTATCAGGTTGCATTTTCAAAGCAAATTACTGTTAAAATTTCATTTATATGAAAGAAAAATTATATTTGATGTGCAGACATGGAACTAGATTCTTAACCTGTGAGTCATGGTCTTCTGGGGGAAGACAGCACTTGTGTATGTAAGTGTATATGCACTTTTCTAGGGAAAGGATTCACAGCTTTCACCAGGTTTTAAGACACTATAAGTTAAGAACTAGAATATATGTGCAATAATTGTAATGACTGATACTGAGATACTGATATGTTTATTCTTGCACACATCCAAACAGCATGCTGGGAAAGGGAAGAACCCCATTTATTACCATTTCCAGGTTTATATCCCTCTCAGGAGGACCCTGGTAATCTCCAAACTGTTTTTCCTGTGTTCACTGTTCCCACTTAGCTTTTTCTCACATATAAACTTCTGAATGATCAACAGTATTTATTAAACTTCTGGGATATTTTCAAACCTAACAAACCTCTACTAGTGAACTTAGCAAACAGATTTTAATGTTAAATCTTGTATACCTTTGGGAGACATGTTCTCCAAAAAATTCAAATTTAAAATACATTCACTAATTTAAAGGTATTTAGAGTAGTCATTGGTAACACTTTTCCACCTATGAAACTGTAAATAAGGCACTAGGAAAAGAAAATGCACATCCTTAAGTCATTATTAGTGAATTAATGTTTATTTTATACCATGCATGAGGGTTTCCAGGGTGAATGGACTGGTTTGCATCACAACGTATTTACAGATACAGAGTGATTAATAACTAACTTGTCCACAAGACATACTGGGTCAAACAATGTGATCAATCCAAAGGGCATCTTTTTAAAAAGAATTTAAGTACTTAGCTACAAAGATGATAAGTTATAGTCAGTTGCTTATAAGACTTCTCATTTTTAAAAAAGGTTTTTAATGAGTCAAATTTAATACAAAAAATTAGTGTGCAATCAAAGCCAAGTATGTTCCTCAGGCACGCCAGAGGTTAGCAAACTAATGTTAATAGAATTAATGTTACTGAAAAATAAAACATTTTTTTCTGAATGGCAATATAAAATGTCATGGCACATTATCATTATTTGACATTATAAAACAGGAAGACATGTTTTAATATTGACTTTGTTGTTTCTATAAAAGTAAAAAACAAAAATTTCAACAGAACATGTAAATTATAAATTCCAGATGGTAAACATAAACACCATAAAAAGGTGTTCTCTTCAAGAGCATACAATTAATTCCCTACAAATAACGTGTCTCATTTCAATGCGTGAGAAAAAGCATATTTACAATTCAAACGTAGCTCTTTCAGCCACTAAGGGAAACTCCCCATCTGCTTTATCTACAAAGACTTTAGTTGGGCGATTACACAATAACAGGTCCTTGAAATGTGTAAAATTTTTAAAAGGAGTGACAATTCACTGTTCTTTTCTATTTTATTGACTTATACATTTCACATATGGCCATGTTAATGACCAAATATGTACAATATTTTTAAAGACAAAAAATAACATTTATATACAGTTTGCAAAGATCAAATTTTAACCATGGACAGCTTTCATCTAGTCCAATGACTAGAAACTTTCCAAAACCAATAACTCTACAAGGTACCACTTCATGTCAAATGAAGCCTCAACACTTTTTTCCTTTCAAATGCTTTCATTTTTCTTAAAGAATTGTTTACAATTCACCTACTTTGAAACTGGCAATAGCTATATGAGCAATGCCTGATGCCACAAATCAAAGTCTTTTCCAACCCAAAAGCTACTGTTAACTGGAGGCAATTTTACCATTTAGGTCAAATTCAGATGTCTAGATCCCAGATACCTGGGTATGAAATATGAAAATCTGCCAAGAGAAATTAGATATTTTTCTTCTTTTCTGTTAATATAACCCACTATATAATAGTGAACTAAATATGTTTGTTTCATAGAAACAACTTACATTTGCCAATACAGGGCAAATGGTCTATGTACAGATACATCAGGACTGCCTAACTGACAGTGAGTGTTGCTGGCCAGGCTCCAGGTCAGTGGAGCTAATACGGAGGCGCTCTCTGCTGAACGGACTTTCCCTTCAGGATTCGTCGGATCTGGAAGAGAAGTAAGTAGGATTTGTGAGGTTTATGTTTTATGATTAAAAGGGTGTATTTTCTTCAGAGTTTGTTTCATTTCTTTCTTATATATTCTACACGACTCTTATTTATTAACTTGCAATTATATGAAGAAATACTATGCACAGTATTTGTCAAGATTTTAAGGTGACTTTAAAAAATACTAAACTTTTAAAGCTATTTCAGATCTCCTCTAAAAGTCTTTGGGTGCAAGAAAATAAAACATTTCCACCACTAAAAATTATCTGAAGTTGAAAATCTCCAAAAACTTAAATGAGACCTATATTCCTTTGCTAATCTTTACTCCTGCTATTTATGAGAACATTTACTTTAATAAGGCAGCAATTATGGTACTTTAGAATATCTCACTTAAACTCGAAGTCAGCATCAACTAACAAGAACACTAATAAGCACCTTATACACATACAAGCAAATCCTTAATACCCTTCAAGTCAAAATAGCTGCCATGATATCCAAGTGTTAATGCACCTGTGCAGAACTTCATGGATCACAGAATAGACCCCAGGCTCATTCACAGCCTTGTGATTGACTTGACACCACAGTCTGACAAATTTTATTATCTGTCTCTCAGCTCACAGAAAATTAGAAGTAACAATTTAGAAGAAAGAAGATTGGGCTGGGTACGGTGGCTCACACCTGTAATCCTAGCACTCTGGGAGGCCCAGGTGGGCGGATCGCTCAAGGTCAGGAGTTGGAAACCAGCCTGAGCAAGAGCAAGACCCCATCTCTACTAAAAATAAAAAGAAATTAATTGGCCAACTAAAAATATATAGAAAAAATTAGCCTGGCATGGTGGCATATGCCTGTGGTCCTAGCTACTCGAGAGGCTGAGGCAGAAGGATTGCTTGAGTCCAGGAGTTTGAGGTTGCTGTGAGCTAGGCTGATGCCACGGCACTCACTCTAGCCTGGGCAACAAAGTGAGACTCTGTCTCAAAAAAAAAAAAAAAAAAGAAAGAAAGAAGACTGGAGTAGGGGATACAAGGAACAGCTGCTATAAGGAAATACAATGATCAGAGTCTGACAATAAAAGCAAGGGAAAAGATCCTCTCCCCACCTTACACATATATACACACAAAATAGAAGCTAAAAGAAAAGTAATCTGAAAACATTTAGTGAAGAGTCAAATGGCCCTCCATACCTCAATAACCCCTAAGAGCATTGTTATATGACTGCATACCACAAACAGTGAAGCAAGGAAAAACACTAGGTTTAGGACTCTACCATTTACTAGTTAATGATGGTTCTTGTCTTTGAACCCTCTCTGAATACCAGTTTCCTCAGTTGAACCTTTATGTTGCACAGCTATTGTAACTATTAAGAGATATTATATACATGAACATTCTTTACAAACTATCAAGAGATTCTAAGTTATAAAAATCGCTACAAATAGGGGTTACTATAACATTATGATCATAATGATGGCTAGGAATCAAAGAAAAAGCTAAACTCCATAACATATATTTATTTTATTTTGTGATTAGTAAAGTATGTAATAACCTACCCTACCAAAATCACCCTCATTCCCCCCAGGAAAAGATTTCCATCCAAAACATTTTAATTTCTTTATTTGAAGAGTAAGTTTTCATTAACTAGAAAAGTTAATAAAAGTTCCCTCATGTGAAACTATTCAATCCTCAGTGATAATATATAACCACGATTGATGAGTAAAGCATAAGTCTGCTTAAAGTGTAAAATATTTCTAGGTTCTAAATTACATAAATAACTTTTCTATTTCTTGTTCAGTGTCACTTAGTAGATGGAAATAATTGTAACAGCTGATATTCACTGAGCACATACTATGTGCCTGGGACTATTTTGAACACTCTACGGATATGAACTCATTTAATATCTACAATATTTGAAGGCTCATACCTTACAAAACTATGATTTTCATTTCTTGGTATCTGTAGAAACCTTGGTACCTTCTCCTTCATCAGTTTCCAAACCTTGAACCATTCTGCCTTACTCTAAACACAAGTTTGCGCCATAGAAGAGAAGATGACCTCACCTCACTGGCCATTTGGGGTCCACAGATAAACCCTCAAATGTCTTACTCTTCATTTGGCAGCAAAGCAATTAGCTCCAAAGTGCTACAATGACTAGCGTGAGATCCAGACACTGATAGAGCCCCTCTGCAGAGCACCAGCTGGCCTCCCCCCACACAACCTCCTCTCCCTTTATGACTAGGATGCCTGCAAGTACTTCCTCCCCCTCCTTGTGACCCTCACCTGTTCTCCCACAGGGCCATCAGGAACCAAATGCACTGGCTGTTCGTTCTCCAAGTTCCGGGTACTTGGGTCTGCTCCCTTCCTCATCAACAGGCGGACTGCATCCAACTGTGTCACCCGATACTGCAGGCTGGCAGCAACGTGGAGGGCGGTGTTCCCATTGTAAGCCTGAAGACAAAGAGATGAAATACACATCAAGAAAGGGGAACTTCCATGAAAGAAGCTAAAACCCTTGAAGGTGGTGTAAAAAAGGTCATTCCAACTCTGATGTGGTTATTAAAGCTTTCTAAAAATACCTTTGCATTCACAAAAGACAGGCAACTGGGCAGCTCCAAAAAGAGGCGAATGAGTTCCAGATTTGCTTCTTCAGCTGCCAAATGCAGGGCTGTGCGGCCACTTTTACGATCCTTGTCAAAGGCAAGAGGAAAAGAAAAAAAAAATCCAAATATCATGCCTTGGAATATGTTTTTCACCCAGTCTCTCAAATGTCTGACTCAGCCTTGGAGACTCACTTTGAATGCTCCCTTCTTCACAAAGCCTTCCTTAATTCCATGCTAAATGGAATCTTTTATTCCTCCTTAATTTCCTAATTTGCTTTATCACAGTCTACCCTTGAATAGAGAGTGGCCATAAAATGTAGAAACATAAATCATTTATTATGTATTTGCCAGTTTCCAGGCTTGATGGCCACCCTTTGGCCACCCCCAAAGACTCAAGTGGTTTATGACTTAAGCATTTTTCCCCTTAAGTCCCCTAACCCAGTGCCTTCTATACAGGCAATGTGATAGCAAATAAAGCCAAAATTTAAAAAGAATAAAATATTTTCCAGTTTAAAAAACAGAAGATTGAGTTTAGATCCTACAACAGTGAAGAAACCCTTACAAAAGCACTACCTTTATTCTCAATGTATGAAAATGAAAGCCAAAGTGACAATATCAAATTTCAAGCATTTTCTTTTCCTTGCAAACTACGACTAATTTATTTCGCAGCTAAGTGATCTTTTGGATAATAATCCACAGACTAAATGCAAATCAGGAAAGCAAAGGAAATGACTATCGAAAATCCAAGTTTCTTAACCATCCACATGTTGCTACTTACGCCATTAACTTTAAAAAAAAGAAAAAAAGAAGTTTCAATCTGCACTGGGGAACAAAGTCTTTTGCTATAACCACTTCTCTCTCCTACCCCATCTCAAACCTTTTCTGTGAATTTACCTTTGCTTCCGCTGTTGCTCCCATTTGAATCAGACACTTAATGGTATCAACCAGACTCTTATTCTTCAGTAAAAGTTCCTGAACTTCAGGTGAATGAGGCTGTTGATTTCTCTGGAGTTCATGCACCACAGCATTGTGGGCCATGACTGCACAATGAAGGGGCGTCAGGCCTAGAAGAAAAGTTTAATAATGCAATGGTCAAGCAGCCCATCCAGTCTTTTGGTCCCTCTATAATTACAACTTTGACAATGGCCTCTAACACTACCTACAAATGGGATCCACAAGAAACAGTAAGGCAATCTGAACATTCCCTCTGTTGGATCTCAGTGCTAATTCTATCGATAGAATATTCTGACTTTAATTACCTCCTTTCCTTCTTAGTATGACACTTAATACCCTTAGAAATTACAGGCCCTGCCCTCTACATAGTTCTTTATCTAATGATGTTTCAGCTGCTTACCATCATAGTTAGTTGCCTCAAGATCCACAAACTGATTGCTCCTCATTGCTCCTTTCTGAATTGCCTGCAAAATTTTAAAATAGACATCTATTAGCAAAAGACAAGCTATATACATACTTATCTATTACAATCCCAAGAAATGAGTAAATTAATTTAAAATAGATATTATAATAGGCAACCTACATCCAACTTCTAATATCTAAGCCCTATCTCTTTGGCCTGTGATGATGGAAGCCCAGTTTGTGGCCTCACCTGAAGCACCTGGGAGTGGCCCTTCTCAGCACAGACGTGCAGAGGTGTTCTTCCCCAGCAGTCTGTGGTGTTCACCTGGGCTCCAAGGTTCACCAGGTCCTGCACGATGAGATGTTGATTGGCAGCTACTGCTACCTGGAAGGCACTCTGTAAGCATACAGAGGGAAAAAATATTTTTTTAAACATATAACATTACCATAACAAGGAATATGAAACTAAACTATGACTGAGGGGAAAACCCACATAGAGAAAATTAATCCTATTAATAAACAATCACATACTATAAAGACAAGGAAACTAAAATAAGCTTAGGGTGCGGCCTTATTGTACTCAGACTTTGGTCAAATAACTACAAAGTTAATATTAATAACTTCAAGGATGATGGTGACAAAAAGTCAGTATCTCAAAGTTAATATTAACTAAACTCTCTTGATATTGAGCTCTGAGATGATCTACACATGAGACTGGTCGTCATTCACTTCACCATGACCCCATCTTTGCCAGACTCTGTCAAGATCCTCACCTGTCCATTGTGCTCTTTAATATCCAGCATGTGAAGCGCATTCATCTTTCTTGCGAGAACATAGGAAAGTGCCCTTCTCCCTTGGGCAACAGCAATATGAAGGAACCTGGGGAATAAGGAAAGGAAAAGAGGTGAATTATCTATGACTTTACTAAGTTCACCTTTTAAAAAAAAATTCTTCCCTTAGCTCCTTTTTGCAAATGAAACATTACAGAGCATAATTTGTCTTTTTTTTCTAGATTGATAATACATCCCAGTTGCAACAGATTGAGTTACGATACCAGAAATAAGAAGAAAAATGAGGATGTTAGCCACCATACTAATCACCTTAAATCTATTATTTTTAATACTCATAAAAAACCCTATGAGGGAGGTATTATCACTTTACATATCAAGAAATTGAGGCTTATAGAAGTTAAATAACTTGCCCAAGGCCACGAAGACTTCAGGACAGATTAGGATCAATCTATAAATCAACTCGCAGCTTATGCCTAATCATGATCTAATTGTTTCTGCTTTGGAGACACAGTCTATGTCGGTCTTCCAAACTCAAATTATTCAAGAAGACACATACATTTTTATTAATTTAGAACAGGTCATTTGTTCAGCCAAAAAAATGAAAAAAGGAAAACAAAAACCTTTCTTGAAATATAAGTTATCACTGAGTAGTAGTTTCTACCTATACTAGTCATCTTGGTTAGCAACCACTAACTAAGCTGTAATTTGGTATACTCTAGAAAAATTCTTTACCCACTAGGTCCAACAAGTATGGCTTACTTAATTAAGTACATATGAGATAAAAGTATACTCACGTGTCACCATCTGCATCCTTGGAAAGGAACTGGTCTTGGGAAATATTTGCCAATTTGCTTTCTTCCTGTTCTACCTGCCACTGAAAAAATGATTTCCCTAACTGTGTGGTGTTCATTGGATTTCCGATGACATTCTGGAAGGGCAGTGAAGTGTTTAAAGAGGTGGAGGCTACATCATGGCCCTCTATGGCCTCACAGGCACCGCTGGGCATCATGCTGAAGCTCTGCAGGTGAGCCTCACTCTGCTGCTGAACACTGGGGGAAGTCTGAATGGAATTAGCAATATTCTCAGATTCCCCATGATTACTTAGAAGGGAGACAAAACTTTGGTTTGGGCAGAACTGTGGTTCTTGAGGATTAAAGAACACTGGTTCATAGTTGGGGGACTGAGAAGTTCTGGAATAAGGACTGTATTCCAGAGTGGGGTTGTGGGAGTAGTGCTGCTGCTGCTCTATGTTCTGGTTCTGTGGAGAATACTGGTACATAGAAGCCTGGTCCATCATTTGGAGGGAGCCGCTGAGTTGGCATGGTTGATATTTCTGAGGAGAGAAGACCTGCCCTCCATGGAAGTCCTGAGACTGCTCGCGGAAGGAGCTCTGAGAGACCACCATGGGGCTCATCCAGCTAACTTGGACTGTGTTCAGGGAAACTGGGCTGCATTCATTCTTAATGTTTATAATGTTCTGAAGCAGATCAGCACTGCTGTCTTGTTTGGGTTCACTGTGATGAACATCTTCCATGTTCTCCCCGGGCGTCGGTGTTTGAGGGGGTGTCTGGAAAAAAAGAAACAGCAACTTGCACACTCACTTCCTTATAAAATTATTCCAGGAATAATTTCCAAAGGGTATTCAGAGGAAAACAGTGAGATATTTACCAAAAACTGCAACAGAGCTGGCCTCTTGCAAGGTGATCCATCAGACAACGAATTGGGCCCTTTCCTTTTTCCACTATATGATATTGTGTTCTTCAAATCTGTACCCAAGAAAGAAATATGGAATCTGTGATTAATTTTACTTCATAAATTTTACCCATAATCGCACTAATTTATTTTATTCTAAATCTCCCCTAAACTTACAAATAGAAGTAACTCTTACCTGTGAACTGCTCTATGTTCACACCTTGTATCTATAAGGAAAAAAGTTTTCAATTTAGTGTATCTAAAATAGTTTCCTTTTTAATATACATCAATAAATAGACTTATCTCTACTACCTCTTATAGCTTGCCATAAATCTCTGATATGGTTATTCAATCAATATTTATTTTCTATCTTAATTTTCATTGTCTTGCAACTTCCCCATTTTCAATTTCACCTTAGTTCAAGATGAAATTAATAAAGCCATTTGATTATTCCCTTTCTAGTCAAAATGTTCCATTTCAAATGAATGCTATTTATTTTCTTACTCCATTTATTCATTCATTAAGTTTCTCTCGGACAACTACCAAGTGCCTGACACTGGGCTAAGTGATAAGATTACAGTACACAGACCAACGTGTTCTGTCCTATGGCCTTTGTCATCTATGAAAAACTACAAGTGACTTACTGGAGCTAGGTCAGCAGAGAGTAACCCTGACAGGCTAACCTCTCCCCACCACCCCAATCAAAACAAAAAAGAGATGCCACCTTAGAATCATCCACAGCTTGACCAGAAGCCTTCTGTTTATGACTTCGGATGTGCAACAGGAGTTCCTTCACTGAGTTTTTCACACGAACGCCTTGAAAGGGTCCTTTCTGCTGCCTGCTAACCCCCATATGGGGCTCAACTGTTCAAAAGAAAAGAAAACACATACCCAGTTAAATCTCTTCACAGACACAACTCTTAATAATCCCCAAAGTCTACTTGTTTAATGTGTAAAGTTCCCAAGCACCAGACTGCAAAGCCTTTCCAACTCGCTCTGGCCCACGGTCTTGCGTGTTCCCAGCTCTACTCCGGGTTGTATGTCACCTGACACCTTTCATAAAAATGTGGTCAGAGATCCACAGACCCAATATATAAATTAAGCCCCTCTGTCTGTCAGCCCTAGCCACCCATGAGACAGGATCACAGATTTTGCCACCTTCGCTCTCACAGATCTAAGTTTATTCCTGACTTTGGAAAAACTTTGAGGGATCAGGAGATAAATGATACATTTTTAGTTTTTTAAATCAAAGGCTTTATGTTCATACGGAAATATTAAAGTCTAATTAATTCCACTCACCTAAGAAGGCACAAAGCAACTTCCTCCAAAGATCTCAATGTACCAAAAGCTAACAATTAACAACTGTCTTTGATTTATTACTTATTATTTCCCTCAATTCAACTGTGCCAAGACAGCTGCTTAAATTCACTGAGCTTAAACACATTTCCACATACACACACAGGATTTCCCCTCACTAACTGTTTCTGGAATTACTTATACAGGACTTCTAAGTAAAAAGGAAATGTGTTCATTTCACATTTAAACTTAAAAATACACTTTAAAATTTAGTACACAAGTACAGTATTCTACTTCTGACCACTACTATCCCACAACCTCTTGGAATCCGAGTTGAACAGAAACATACAAAAAGTCAGGAAATGAATAATTTGGCCACTCCATCAAGTGTGGAAAAAAGTAAGAAGACGGGACAAGAAACAGTACGACTTGAACATATATAACATCATAAATATATGATCTAAATGGCTCAATAGGGTAGATAAAACAATTAGTTGGTTTTATATTTAAGTTTAGGAATGTCAACAAATACCAGAATTGCCAAAATCTAACACAGCATTTCCCTGGAATGACAGCAGAAAATAATTCAACATCACAGAGAGAAAAATGCCATTTCAGAAATCCCCTATGGCTCTGTGGTGAACCAAGGAACTAGCAAAACAGTTTCAGCCAAATGAAAACCAAATGTGGAAGAAAAGATCCTAAACACACACATATACAGTTTGGATTTGCTACACCCTTAACATATAGTGTCTTAAATCACTTTTTAAAATGATTTTTAAATGACTTAAAATGGAAAATCACTTTTCCCCCCTAATATTCTGAAATTAAAAAAAAAATAGAAAGAAAAATCACTTTTAAAAATAAAAGACAACCAAAACAAGAGCAGCTAGCAGTGGGAAACACCGAAAAGAGAGATGCTTTCAAATCGCGCTGATTAGACTCTAACATTTGAGATCATCTAGGCGTTCTTTCGCCTACCCACAGGGGCATCCTGTTTTCCACCAAATTATGCAACTCGGTTCATTGAAAAATGAAACTAACCAATTCACAACTGAAAAGGCAAACATCATGCCTTTCCTTGCCAGATATGACTTATCCAATCATTCTAAAGAGCACAGAACAAAAACAAGACCAAAGAAATTCTGGTCAGACGTCTGAAACTCGCCAGCATCATAAATTAAAGGCATAACTTGAGTTGGTTTTCAGTCCAGCTTCACTTCACATCTTGATAAGAGACGTGTCTTTAATGGGAAAACCCTTTTATTCACAATTTCCACAAATACTTAGGGAGAAATAAGTCATGACCTCAAACACAGCTCCCAAACCTTATCCTCTGCTACAGCGTTTCACTAATAAAGCCACAAGAAAATTACACCCACATCAGACCCCAAATCTCATCGCAGCACATTAATTATAACTCAACAAAGCTGGGTTTTTTAGGAGAGGAGAGGAGGAGAGAGAGAGGCCTAACTTCATTCCCTCCCCCCCCCCCCCCCCGGGTCAGCGCTCCGCCCGCAGTGCTGTGTCCGAGGCCCGAGGCCGGGCGGGCTGGGTGGCGCCGGGACTGCACAGACTGTCAAAGGGCATCTAGTTGTGTCAGGCGCCCAGCCCGGGGCAAGGCATCCAGTAGTCGCGTACTAAATGTCGGCTAATGTGCTTGTGTCCTGCCGCTAAGGAGGGCGCGGGGGCCCTTCCCGCCCGGGGGCGCGGCCCCGACGCCGCCAGCGAGCAGCGAGCAGGGCGCGGGGCCGGCGGTACCTTGCAGGCGCTCCGCGCGGGCGCCGCCTCTCGGCCGGGACTCCACGGCCCCGCAGGAGGACACGGACGAGGCGGAGAAGTCGGAGGAGTCGGAGCCGGGCGAGCCGGGCGCCGACGGACCCGACGACGAGCCGCCGGCGTCGCAGGCGGCCAGCGAGGGCGCGGGCGGCGAGGCGCCGTAGAAGTAGGCCAGGTTCAGCGGGCTGGTCATGAGGCCGCAGTCGCCGGCCGCGTCCAGCAGCCCCTCTCCGCCGCGGCTGTCGTCCAGCAGCCTGTCCACGATCATGCTCCCGGGCCCGGCGCTCGGGGACCCCCGGACTCCTGCGCCACCGGCTCGCTGCGCGCGGCTGCCTCCCGCCGTGGCTGTGGCGGGCGCGGGGACCTGTCGACGGGCGCGGCCCGGGGCCGCCCGGGTATTTAACCGGCCGCGGCCCCGCCAGCCGCCCCCACGCCCCGCCCGGCCATTGGCGGGGCCGCGGCCGCCTCCCGGCCCCTCCCCCGGATGCGGCCGGTTTCCAGTAAAATGTACAGGATGAGGCAATGCGCCCTCCGCCCTCTCCGCGCCCGCCCGGCTCCGCCCAGCCCGACCGGTTGCTTTCCTGCCCTACACCTGGAAACCCCGACCGGGCCTGGCCTCCAGCCTCCGGCTTCCCGGTCCCGGACCCTCGCCGCGGCCGCCCGCCCGGAGACGCCCGGGCCAGGCCCGCCCTCGGCCAGCCCGGAGCGAGGGCGCGCGGCCAGGGTCGCGGACCGCAGAGGGACGCGGGGAGGCGGCGGCGGGAACAGGTCGGCCTGGTTCCCGGGAGCGGGAGCTGGGGGGGGGGCGCCCGGCACCCTCCGCCTGGCGCGGCCAGCTGGAAAAGCCGGAGCTAAGGCGTCTCTGGAAGGTTCCTTAAGGGCCCGTCTCCTCCGGTGACTCAGAGCAGTTTCCCTCCTTAAAACTTAAGAAGCGTTTGCTAGCGCTCTTGTAGGCAAGGTCCCAGATTGACAGAGGTGCCGAAACATTTTTCTGTCCTCCAGTTATCATCTGGGCCACAACTAAGAATTATTTTAGGCGCAGCCCTGAAATAAAAAGCAATGCCCACATTGCTGTATCTTTCTGTATCCTTCAATACTAGAAAAAGCCATCTTAGCAAAATAAATATATATTCATATGTGTCTGTATTTTTTTATTCTGCATCGCTTTACGTTGTGTCTGATAAACATAGGAATTTTGACCTTTCCTATCTTGAATCATCTTTTTAATGGATTTATACAACTATTTATTGAAATCCAACTAGCCAGAAAAAGAAAAAAAGCTAGAAGTTTGCAGGAGAAAAAGAATGATTAAGTCTGTCCTTTCAAGTACGTACTTTATATCTTGTAAGAATGATAAGGTAAGTACACACATGCTATATTAAAAGAAACCGATTGTGAGTAAATATCACGAGGGATACAAAGTTCAGTGAACAGCCTGAAAAGAGAAGCAGTATGTCTGATACAGGCAAAGGGAGGTCAGGAGGAAATTTCTTTACAGGGGAGGTGGCACTTGAGATAGATCCTAAAAGAGGGGTGGGATTTCAGCCCACAGCGTTTAGAGGAAGACACAACAGCATGAGCAAGGAATTAAGGCCAAATAAGAGTTTACAGTCCCTTTCAGGATTGTCAAAGAGATTATGTTAAATGTAAAGGCAACTTGGTGCCTTTGGGTAGAGCACCTCCAGCAGCTGCGACACTGGAACTTTTTAATAAAGACTGAGGAAACATGAAAGAATTTTAGGCAGGCAAAATTAGTGTGGAAGCAGTTGAGAGGGTGTGAGAATAAGGGAACCAGAGGCCATTAGGAACCACTGCGATAGCCCAGAAAAGAACTGACCTGACCCTGGGACAGAGACAGTGGGAAAGGGGAAAGTAAATGGAAAGAAAGCTGAGCTAGGTAGCATTGCTAGGATGGAATCCATAGGTCTGGCCCAGCTGGCAGTGGCGAGCAATGAAAGGGTACCCAGTCAAGCCACATAGTTGAGGTCATGGCCAGGTGAACAGGGATGCCAGCTCCAGATCACCGGGAAATCAACAGAGCAGATTGTGAGAATTCCAGAAGGAAGGAAACAATGAGCTTGGATTGTTACTCTCTTAACAGGTAATATAAGACCCTGGTGAAGATAGTTTCAAAGTAAATACATTCATGCCCTGCAAAATGATGTTTCAGTCAACAGTGGACCACATATATGACAGTGGTCCCATAGATTATAATACCATATTTTTACAAACCTTTTCTATGTTTAGATATATTTAGATACACAAATACCATCGTGGTACGACTGCCTACAGTATTCAGTATGATAATATGCTCTAAAGGTTTGTAGCTTAGGAGCAATAGGCTATACCATATAGCCTGTGTGTGTAGTAGGCTAGACCATCCCAGTTTGTGTAATTACACGCTGTGATGTTCACCCAACGACAAAATCACCTAACAACACATTTCTCAGAATGTATCCCTACTGTTAGGCAACAAGTGACTGTATTTCCTTTTTCTCACAAGTGTATTTCCTTCTTGTTGCCTCTCCCTCCCCCTAACTTTTTAGTAACTTTTAAAAATAAATAAATAAAAGGGAAACAACTCCCTTGATGTATCTGTGGAATATACAAAGCTCTGAAACCAAAATGACTTAAAAGATGTTCCAAATGAGATGTTGAGAGTGATGGTTAATTTTATGTGTCAATTTGATTGGAGTAAGAAATGCCCAGACAGCCGGGTTAAAACATTATTTTTGGGTAAAGTCTGTGAGGGTGTTTCTGAAAGAGGTTATTAGCATTTGAATCAAAAAGATCCCTGCTCACCAATGTGGGTAGGCATCATCCAATCCATTGAGAGGCAAAATAGAACAAAAAGGCAGAGGCTCTCTTCTTGAACTGGGATCCATCTTTTCCTGCCCTCAGACGTCAGCACTCCTGGTTCTTGAGCCTTCAGACTCCAACCAGGACTTATGCTACCAGCTCCCCTGCTTCTCAGGCCTTTGGGCTTGGACTAGAACTACACCACCAGCTTTTCTGGTTCTCCAGCTTACAGATGGCAGGTGGTGGACTTCTTGGCCTCCATAATTATGTGAGTCAATCCTTCATAATAAATCTCTTTCTTTGTGTTTATATATACCCTATTGGTTCTGTTTCTCTGAAGAACCTTAATACATTGGAGTTTCCCAATAAAATCTATTTGGACTTTTTTTCTCCTCACTAACATATTTTATGTGTATAATAAAGGACTTAAATGCCCATTCAAATCAATTCATAGATAAAATTTTTTTACAAAATGAATTCTCTCCTTGATTTAATTAATTCTCTTCCTGTTTTACTTGGTATACAAAAACTTAAACCTCAAAATCATGGCCTCTGGAGAACTTAATATAGATCAAAATGGTCAGTGAAAGAGTAATAGTCAGTGAAAGAGTTTGTTTCAAACTAAACAAACCTTTCTATGCAATGCCAAAGCAATAGTACTGTTTGAGAAAACCATAATTCTCGATGTCCAGAAGCCTTCCCACACAGTCAAAAATGGTTGTTACTATCCCTACAAAAAGAAAATTTAAATATACTTTGCTTCATTCAAGTGTTGAAGTATAAACTCAATTTGGTCTACTAGGTTGACTGATATGATGCTGCCATTGTTCTAATCAAATATGGTCAAAGAGTCACTCTGGGGGAGACAGCCACCAGGGCATGAGGACACTGCACTATCTGGAAAAATCAACTGAGGCCAACAGCCAGCACCAATTTGCCAGCCACATGAGTAAGCTACGGCCCACACCAGGCCTTCAGAGGACTGCAGCGCTGGCCAACGTTTTGACTGTAGTCTCATTAGATACTTCAAATGGGGGTGGGGGGGTGGGGGGGGACATTTATTGAAACCTTAAAATCTGTACCCCCATAATATGCCAAAATACAAAAAAAAGGTAAAAAAAAAAAAAAAAAAAAAAAAAAAAACACCAGAACCCCTAAAGCCACTGACACTTCCTGACCCTAAAGCCACTGACACTTCCTGATGCACAAAAATTGTATACAAAAAATGGGGCCTGGAGAATTTGTCTAAAGTCACACTGTTCCATCTTAGGTGGAGAGGAGATTAAAATTCTCATCTGTCTGACTCTGGAGCCTGATCTTTTGCTTAAAAAGGGGATATTACAAGATTCATTTCCTCAAGGCTCACATGCACTGTCAACACCTAAAGATACAGAAAAAGATGAAAATGTCATATCAATGAATTCTGTGATTTCTAGAAGGGAGAAAAGAATAAGAATAAAATAAGAATAAAAGAATAAAATAAGAATAAAAGAATAAAATAAGAATAAAAATATGATGATGCTATCTTACCCAGGGTTTTATATAGCAGGTTAGATAAGGTTAATAATTTACTTTATTGTGTCTTACATAAGAGAACATTTTTGAATAGTTTTATGGTGCCTGTTATGTTGTAATACCATTTTTGAGACCAGTAATTCAGAGTTCTAAGAAAAGGAATTGAACTTTTAAATATAGAGGTAATGAACGATTGCAAAGCCAAAGATTATTTGGAACAGCTTTGAAATGAATGAAACTTAAAATGAAATGAAAAAGCCAGAACCTTATAAGATAAGTTATTGTATTGCATTGGCTCTCACAATGAGCTTTACTGGTGAGAGGCCAATAAAGCCTGCTAGAGTTTATTTTGCTGAATGCCTTCTAGATGAAAAGTCAGTAAAAGAAATCACAGCACTGCCACTTTCCAATGATACAGTAACTCACTGAATTAAAGATTTAACTGCAAACAACTGATTTTGTCTTCAGAATTGTGCTTTCGTTTTAGAAACGTACAGATCTACAGACTGTGTGGAGTTGCTATTTTGTTTCATTAGGTATCAGCCCAAGCCATCATTGAAGATCTTTTATTTGAATGCTTCACAACACAGGGAATGCTGAAACATTTAAGGTGTACAATAACTTTTTTGAAACTCATAATCTATCCTGGAACAACTGTGTTTACATTTGCAATGATGGTACAAAAGCAATGGTAAACTACTGGTGCCTTAAAACAAATCAAGGCAATGGCAACAAAATGAACTAGTGATCACTGTATTCTTCACCACCATACACACGCAAAAAAAAAGGGGGGGGAAAGCCAGCTTCACTGAAGTCCTACATGAAACAGTAGCAGCATTAATTTTATTAAATACTAACCCTTGAGATATACACATCTTTTTATTATTCTATGTGGCAAATGGGAAATACACACAGAAATTCGTGCTGCATCCTGAAGTATGTCAATTGTCTCAAGGAAAAGTACTTGCCTAATAGGTTGAACAATATAGCATTGCCATTTGTTCTAATCAAACACTGTTTGAGTTGTAAGCTGAACTAGCCACTGTTTTTCATGGGATACCAATTTTACTTGACTGACAAACTATGGTTATTCAGACTCTGGTATTTGTCAGTTTTTTTTTTCTTTTAATGAACAAAGTTAACCTGTCATATCAAGGAAAATAACTAATAGTATCTGTTGCCAATGATAAAATTCAGGTTTTCATATGAAAATTAGAATTTTGGGAAACTTCTGTCAGATACCTTGAGCTTGATAGCTTCCCAATACCTGAAGACTTTTTTGATAAGGTCAGTAGTGATCTTTTTTTTTTGACAAATGTGATTTTTTTATGTAATATAATAAAATGTGGGAACATTTGGAAAATTCGTAAAACTTGATTAACTAGTATTTTCCAAATAAACAAGGCAAGACATTACAAAATCACACATGGACAAAAGATCCATTCAAAATGCAAGGAAAACCCAATGGATTTTAATATGTATCAAAATATAAAAAGTTCATTGATATGGTTTCAGATTCCACATAGTTCCTTGAGGAACTACCACTTACTTTGGTATAATATTAAAGAAAAATATCCAAATTACCTGAAAAGACTATCAAAATAGTTCTTCCTTTTCCAACTATGTATTTATATGAGGCCAAATTTTCTTCAAACTCTTTACCAAAACAACATATTCCAACAAATTAAATGCCGAAACAGATATGAGAATCTGTCTTTTGTAAAACTAGACAGTAAGAGATTTGTAAAAGTATAAAACATTACTGTTCTACTAAGTGAGTTTTTATTCTGATTTAGAAAATATAGTTTTTAAAATAAATTAGTAAAGATTTAAATATAATTTTAATGATAGAATGTAACAAATGTTACATTGTTCAACCCATTAGCTCCACATTGGGCTAATAATTGTTGAACATCTGGTTCTGGAACCATGCTCTCTTCTCCACCCCTACTTCCCCTGTCTAAGACTGTCCTTTATCTCTAATCTGAGCCAAATGACCTATCCAGCCTTGGCCACCTAACATCCATCCTCCAGATGGCCATTAGCATGCCATATCTACAACCAGATGTTAAGAATGCCTTTACTGTATTTAAGAATCATTCAATGGCTCCCTATCATCTTTACCATTGAGTACAATCTTCTTAGAATGACAAGTGTCCAAGCCCTGCCTCCCTCACAAGCTTCATCTTCCTCATTATCTTCAGAGTATATATAGTTATCCCAAACTGAGTATAATTTCCAACAGTACTGGGACTTTGTTCCTGCTGTTTCCTCTGCACAGAATGCTCTCCCCTTCCTCGCCTGGCCAACCCATGCTCCTCGTTCCTAAGATTCGCTTAATATCCAATCCTCCTGGAGCCTTTCCTGACCCTTCTTCCCTCAACCCTCACTCTCACCCTACAACCCTCCCCACCGGCCCTTGTCTGGGCTAAGGGCTCCTCCTCTATATCTATACATGGAATTCTATCATAGTTCATAGGATGTGTTGAAATTATCCATTTATGAGTCTGTCCCCTCTCTCCCACTATAAGCTCCCAAGACATGTATCCCTTATAAATAGCCAAGTACTCATTACTTATGTAGGTACTTGGTACATATAGACTGGTGGAAACAAATGGAAATGCTTCCAAAATTATTTTATGTGCAATACCATCAAACAGCAAAATAGCCCCTTTGGCCCCCTAAATTAGAATCCCCTCGTTCTTGGCACTTGGATTATTATAAAACTATTTTCATATATCTTATAAATATAAAAGATATCCTGGGGGGCCGTGACCGCCTGCCTGTTGACGTAGGCGGCAGCTGTTTCAGCTTCGAGGCGCACCCGGGGCCCGCTGGCCCGCGGGAGAAATGTTGCTGAAGTGCTGCTGAAAGGGCCAGAGATGCAAGGATTTGGGACACATTTTGAAACTTTAAGCTGTCTGACATTGACCTCCTTTCATTATTAATAAAGAAGAAGCAGGAGCTTAGGATGTATTAACACCAACTCATTAATATACTAACCGGACAATGTTCTGCAAACAATTCTGCATTTTAAAGAACTGGATTGGCACAAAATAAAATAATTTCATATTTTACTCAGCTTGTAGTATGACTCGATGGAGGAAAATTTGATAAACATGAGGGAAGACCATTCTTTTCATGTTCGTTACAGAATGGAAGCTTCTTGCCTAGAGCTGGCCTTGGAAGGGGAACGTCTGTGTAAATCAGGAGACTGCCGCGCAGGGGTGTCATTCTTTGAAGCTGCAGTTCAAGTTGGAACTGAAGACCTAAAAACACTTAGTGCTATTTACAGCCAGTTGGGAAATGCTTATTTCTACTTGCATGATTATGCCAAAGCATTAGAATACCACCATCATGATTTAACTCTTGCAAGGACTATTGGAGACCAGTTGGGGGAAGCCAAAGCTAGTGATAATCTGGGAAACACCTTAAAAGTTCTTGGGAATTTTGATGAAGCTATTGTCTGTTGTCAATGACACCTAGCTATTTCCAGAGAGCTTAATGACAAGGTGGGAGAAGCAAGAGCACTTTACAATCTTGGAAATGTATATCATGCCAAAGGGAAAAGTTTTGGCTGCCCTGGTCCCCAAGATGGAGGAGAATTTCCAGAAGAAAAGAGAAATGCTCTACAGGTAGCTGTGGATTTTTATGAGGAAAACCTATCATTAGTGACTGCTTTAGGTGACCGAGCAGCCCAAGGACGTGCCTTTGGAAATCTTGGAAACACACATTACCTCCTTGGAAACTTCAGGGATGCAGTGATAGCACATGAGCAGCGTCTCCTTATTGCAAAAGAATTTGGAGATAAAGCAGCTGAAAGAAGAGCATATAGCAACCTTGGAAATGCATATATATTTCTTGGTGAATTTGAAACTGCCTCTGAATACTACAAGAAGACACTACTATTGGCTCAACAGCTTAAAGACAGAGCTGTAGAAGCACAGTCTTGTTACAGTCTTGGAAACACATACACTTTACTTCAAGACTATGAAAAGGCCATCGATTATCATTTGAAACACTTAGCAATTGCTCAAGAGCTAAATGATAGAATTGGTGAAGGAAGAGCATGTTGGAGCTTAGGAAATGCATACACAGCTCTAGGAAATCATGACCAAGCAATGCATTTTGCTGAAAAGCACCTGGAAATTTCAAGAGAGGTTGGAGATAGAAGTGGTGAACTAACAGCACGACTAAATCTCTCAGATCTTCAAATGGTTCTTAGTCTGAGCTACAGCACAAATAATTCCATAATGTCTGAAAATATTGAAATTGATAACAGTTTGCATGGTGCATGCCCCAAGTTGGGACACCGACACAGTATGGAAAATATGGAACTTATGAAGTTAACACCAGAAAAGGAACAACTCCTAAGTAGCAAGCTTAATTTGCTATTTTCTGCCTACCTCTATAGTGGTACTAACAGTAAGTTCTATAAGAAGCTCACTAGATTCAACCTTGTAATTCTCTAAGAACCAACTGATGATAAAAATTTATCTAATTTAAAAAAAAAAAAAAAGATATCCTAGCTATGTTGTGCCCAGGATTCTTTGGAAAGAATGTAAAATGCTATCAGGAATTTTAAAACAGATCATGTTATGTGATATGTTGATTTGTTGAAGATTTCCCTGAAAAATGATAATATTGTCTCCATAGCTATATAAAATCTTTTTAATATCCCAAGAAACATTTAAACTTTGGAGTGTTCTAACAGATTTTTTTAATGCAGAGGAGTAAATTAGACCACATATTTTTAAAATTCCATTTATTCTTCAATATGGTAGTGCTTTATAAATGGCTTTTCTAAGCCAGGGACTTTTGTAAACACTGGGTTACAGCAGTTCATTAGACAAACACACATCCCTGTCTTTGTGGACCTTATACCTGATGTATGAACATTCTTATCATATACTCAGATACTATTACTATTCCTGAGATACATGTACTCTGTTCTATTGGTACTCATACACTTCCCAATAGAACACCTACAACATCTGATCTCCTAGGCTATGGCACAGACAGCTGTATTTAGTAAGATCCATAAGCTGCTTCCTTACAAATGGCATAATCCATTATTTTGTGTGTTTTGATCTGGACAGACAAAAAAGGATGTCTTCAAAAGTATTTTCTAGGTCCTGTTTGCAGAAAATTACTAGTACCTGATCGTAAAGCACAGTATACCACATTGAGGAAATTTCTCAAAGCAGGTAATTCTACTTGCCCAGTAACCTAATCATCATACAGATGAATTAGTGAGTGATTTGCATATCTCTGAACACTCTCCTCAGTGCTGACAAAATCAACTTGAGACATTTCTAAGTACTGTGTGTACAGTATGTACAACTTTGCATATTATAGACTGATAATATCAAGGCAAAATTAATAGTGTCCCTGGAGCAATCTCTCTAGAGCTTCCTCTTACATGAAAGTGACATAAGAGGTGCCATGTACCATTTTGTCTTTCCCACAAATATTTGAAGCACCTATGATGTGCCAGGTGAGTACTTTTCTAGTATGAAAAGTAACTCCACTGCTTCCCAGCAGGTACACAATGCCTGTCCTCTGATGCACAAGCAGAAGAAATGCCTTGTACAAAGCTAGGTCACACAGCTGAGTGTCCCAACCAAGAGATGCCTTATAAACAGAGGCTGAGGGGGGCGGAGCAAGATGGCAGACGAATAACACCGCCAGACAGAGGGTCTCTGCAGAAAAGACAGATTCTAGCAGAAATTAGAGGATGGTAGGCACAACAAATACGGCACATCATTGACAGTGGACAGATGTGAGAATCCTGATATAAACCATCCTCATATAGCCATCTAATTTTGCAAAGCAGACAAAAACATACGCTGGGAAAAGAATCCCTCTTCAGTAAATGGTGCTGGGAAACTGGATAGCCACCTGTAGAGGCTAAAACAGGACCCACACCTTTCACCTCTCACAAAACCAACTCACGCTGGATAACAGACTTAAACCTAAGTATGAAACTATTAGAACTCTAGAGGAAAAAGTTGGAAACACTCTCCTAGACATCGGCCTGGGCAAGAGTTTATGAAGAAGTCCCAAAGGCAATCACAGCACACAAAAATAAATAAATGGGACATGATCAAACTACAAAGCTTCTGCACGCCAAAGAATAGTCATGAAAGTAAACAGACACCTACAGAATGGGAGAAATTTTGCATCCTATGCATCCAATAAGGGACTGATAACTAGAATATACTTAGAACTCACGAAAATCAGGAAGAAAAAATCAAATAACCCCAAAAGTGGGCAAAGGACTTGAACAGAAATTTTTCTAAAGAGGACAGAAGAATGGCCAAAAACATATGAAGAATGCTCAACATCTCTAATCATCAGGGAAATGCAAATCAAAACCACAATGAGATATCACTTAGCCCCAGTGAGAATGGCCTTTATCAAAAAATCTCCAAATAATAAATGCTGGCTTGGTTGCGGAGAGAGAGGAACACTCCTACACTGCTGGTGGGACTGCAAACTAGTTCAACCTCTGTGGAAAGCAATATGGAGATACCTTAAAGCGATACAAGTGAATCTACCATTTGATCCAGCAATCCCATTGCTGGGCCTACCCAAATGATCCAATGACACTCTACAAAAAGACACCTGCACTCGAATGTTTATAGCAGCACAATTCATAATTGCAAGGCTGTGGAACAGCCCAAGTGCCCATCAATCCAAGAATGGATTAATAAAATGTGGTATATGTATACCATGGAGTACTATTCAGCTCTAAGAAACAATGGTGATATAGCACATCTTATATTTTCCTGGTTAGAGCTGGAACCCATATTACTAAGTGAAGTATCCCAAGAATGGAAAAACAAGCACCAGATATATTCTCCAGCAAACTGGTATTAACTGAGTAGCACCTAAGTGGACACATAGCTACTACAGTAATAGGGTATTGGGCAGGTGGAAGGGGGGAGGGGGGTATATACATACATAATGAGTGAGATGTGCACCATCTGGGGGATGGTCATGATGGAGACTCAGACTTTTGGGGGGAGGGGGGGAAATGGGCATTTATTGAAACCTTAAAATCTGTACCCCCATAATATGCCGAAATAAAAAAATAAATAAATAAACAGAGGCTGAACCACAGCAACACTACCGTACCTGAAATACCTTCTCAGCATCACATCCTTCTAGCCCAGCAGAAATCCAAGTGTATAAATTGGAAACAAAACAATTTTTCTTCCTCTTTAACACTTCATTTCTAAAGAAATGAAAAGTTTTTCCATTTGATTTCAGAAGATTTTCACATACTATAAAACGTGCATGATTCATGCAAAATCATAGTTACGGGTATTGGTCTGAAGGGCTAACTTGTATACCGCACTCTCTAATAGTAATGATCAAAACTCACACAAAACATCCGCATGAAACAAGTGCACTTTCCTAAAATTCACCCTGTAAATTGTTCTTAGCTCATGAGGGTGTTTCCTGGTTCCTATTTATAATGATAGACTTTATCTATAACAGACACACATAGAAATAAAAATTGTGTAGGTGAGTTTGTCCAAAATGGCAGAGCATTATAAGTTCTATGGTTGCTTCTGCTTTCTCTGCCTTGTTGACAACTCAGAGATTTCATATCCACACATATAAATGAAACCACCATTATAAACAATGAATGTGGGAATATTGTTAATTCCTACCTGCTTTCAAGGGTGCTAAAATGTGATCTACCTTAAACAGAATGGTGAAGAAAGAAAAGTATCTTTTCCCAATTCCTCTTTCTCCTTCCTTTTTTCCTCTCCATTCTCCTTTTTATCACTCCTTTGCCTACACAAATATGCAGATTCCAGACAGTAATGTGTAATCAAAATTACCATTCCCTGTATATCTTTCTACTACAAAAAACTCCCATGCTCTGGGAAATGATCTTAGCTTTCAAGAAGACTTTGATAAACTAATTTACATTATAATATAAATAAATGATAACTGTCACTTTTTAAGGAGAAAAAAAATCTGAAGACAATTAACTAACGCCAAAGGACTGAATGTTTTATAGTTGAATTTTAACATCTATAGAAATTAAGTAAAGAAAATTTTTTTTGGCTGGGCATGGCGGTTCACGCCAGTAATCCTAGAACTCTGGGAGGCCAAGGTGGGTGGATCGCTCAAGCTCAGGAGTTCAAAACCATCCTAAGCAAGAGAGAGACCCTGTCTCTACTAAAAATAGAAAGAAATTCATTGGCCAACTAAAATTATATAGAAAAATTAGCCGGGCATGGTGGCACATGCCTGTAGTCCTAGCTACTCGGGAGGCTGAGGCAGGAGGATCGCCTGGGCCCAGGAGTTTGAGGTTGCTGTGAGCTAGGCTGACGCCACGGCACTCTAGCCCTGACAACAGAGTGAGACTCTGTCTCAAAAAAATAGTAAAGAAAATTTTTGACAGAAAGACCATTCACTCTTTCTTTGTATGAATATTTGGCCTACATGCATCTGCTAATGTGTAAAGCTAAGAAACTTCTAAGCGTTTTTCTGTATTCCTTTAGATTTTGGTTTAAACCTTCTCTTTTCCCCAAAGAAAAGGTTAAATTTGAAAAGTGTGTTACATTGAGCTTAATGCCTCATTAATATAGAGATGGGATATGGTACTTGTAAATGTTCAGTACATAGCTGCTTAATAAACATGTTGATTTGACTGATTTATATGTTGATTTATGTTGCTCAAAACTTTCATAAACAAAATTTCCTTTCCTCTTCCATTTTTAACACGGATAACATGATTCTGTCAAACTGTATGACAGGTGAGAATTTAATGTCTTATATAAAGGCATGAATGCTTTAGCCACATTTTTTTCAAGAAGAATTTTAATTGCAGAACTTTTAATTCAGAATTACTTGAGGTTTTTGATTTTGGAAGTTTTAGGGGATTTTTACTTGTTTATTACATGGGTCTCCAGGGATTTATTTTTAATTTCTATGAACAAGGGCACTAACATGTACCACATAAAAAGACTAACTATAAAAATGTTTTAAGAGCTGAAAAGGAAAGATCAGCCCACATCATATGCAAAATGGATATTACCAATAAAATAATAAAAAATTATAGACCCATATTATAATAATATTTTGGTACACTGATAATGTTAATAACTACCACTATTGAATATTCACTATATACTGAATACCATATGGACTTTGTATAGACATTATCTCTAATGTAAGTAATGGCTGGGAGAATGGTCAAAGATTGAGAAGAAATGTGCAGTTATGAAATCTTGCCAACCACAACTCGCATTAGCAGACAACATACGTCGAAAACATATGCATGTATAGTTATGAATAGCAAGAATTGGAACTAATTAATGAGGAAATCTGAACTCTCAGTTACATGCAAATTCAAACAGTCACCTTGCCTCCCCCACAATTGCTTTTGCTTACATTTTCTGGATACTAATGTGGCCTACTGCACAGCCTGACACCTAAGAATGGTTTTTACATTTTTTAATAGTTACTTTTTTTTTTTTTTTTTTTTGAGACAGAGTCTTACTTTGTTGCCCAGGCTAGAGTGAGTGCCGTGGCATCAGCCTGGCTCACAGCAACCTCAATCTCCGGGGCTCAGCGATCCTACTGCCTCAGCCTCCCAAGTAGCTGGGACT